TTAGAGGCGTGAACCACCGCTCCCGGCACTTCATAGTCTTGATTTGTATTTCTCAAATAACTAAACACATAGGACACTTCTTGTACTTACTAGCAATGCATTTTTTTTTTTTTATAAACAGCCTATTCCAACTTCTTATACTTTAGGGTTAAGTTAATGAATTTTAAGAGTGCTTTATATACCTTTTTAAGCAATATGCATTTTAAGCAATAAGCAAATATTTTCTCTTGAAATTTCTTGAAATACAATGTGGTTATACAGTTTCTTAATAGTGTCTCAATGAATAAAAGTTTTTATTTTGATGAAGTCTAATTTGTTGTGGATTTTTTTTCCATTTTATAGAATTAGTGCTTTCTGTGTCTTGTCTAAGAAATTATTGACTACTCTAAAATCTGGAAGACATTCTCCTCTAATTCCTCCTACAAGCTTTACAGTTTTAGCCAAAACCAAGATCAAATAATATTATCCAATATTTTCTTCCAGAAGTTTTATACTTTTAGGTTTTACATGTATCTCTATGATCCACTTTCAGTTAATTTTATACAGTAAAAAGAACTAGGCTTCAAACTTTTTTGGATATGGATATTCAGTTATTCCAGCACCATTTGTTGAAAACACTATCCTTTCTCTACTGAACTGCTTCTGCCTCTCTGTCAAAAATTACTTGTCTATACATGAATGGCTTTATATATAGACTCTCCATTCTGTTTCACTGATCTATTTGTCTTTATGCCAATGCCACAATGTTTTGATTACTGTAGACTTATAATGTATTCAAATCAGGTAGTGTTAGGCCTCTAACTTCGTTCTTCGTAAAAGCTGTTTTGGTTATTTCAAACATTTCTATTTTAAGTTTAGAATCTATCTGTATATATAGATCAAATTGGGGAGAAAAGACATCTTAACAATACTGAGTTGTATGATCCGTGAACACAGTTTATCTTTCCATTTATGCGGACTTTCTTTTATTTCTTTCATCAGTGTTTCAGTGTTTTCAACATACAAACCTTGTGCATATTTTGTTAGATTTATATCTAAGTACTTCATTTTTTGGTGCTAGTATAAATTTATTTTGTATTTTTAATGGTCTTAAAATTTTTTAAATTTCTATTTATAAGTGTTTCCTTGCTACTATTTAGAAATATAAATGGTTATCAGATATTGACTATATTCTACAGCCTTACTAAACTCACCAGTTCTAGTAACAATTTTATAGATCCCTTTAATGTTCTCTATAAATATTCATGTTCTCTGTGAATAAAGTGTTAGTTCTTTCTTTTCAATCTAGATGCCTTTTATTTTATTTTATTATGCCTATTGTGTAAGAGTAAATCCAGGCACTATTATTCCATCTGTACTGGAAGCTGAAGTGTTAAGTACATATTTGAATACTATTTTTATTTTTAAATAATCAATGTCACAGAGATATTTGGAAAGTCGTAAGTATTAGATAACAAGGAAATGGTGATTACCAAACTGCTAAATATTCATCATGCTGAACCTACCTTAAAACTTTAAAGTTTAGATCCAAGATAATTGTTTTATATTTTTATTACCCTTGGTATTTTCATTAAGAGTCATCAATCAAGCAGTAAAATGTAGAAACAAATACAACACTAAAATTCAATAAATATCTGTTGAATGAATGAATTATAACAATGAATTATAGTATGAAGGAAGACAATCCTGCATTAATTTGTCATACAACTACCAGTTATAGGAGGAAAAAAATAGCGACAGAGAATGCCTTCAAGTTTATCTCATGGCAGAGGAGCTTAAAATACAACACAATACAGAATTTTGGAACTGGAAGTCTTCTCAGGATTTAGACTGTCTTTTCCCATTCCAGAGATGAGAAGAAGGAGACACAGAGAAAAAAAATAAACATCTAGAAATGATGACACTATGGGCCTAGGTTTTCTGACTTCTAGTTCTTTCTCATCTACCATACAAACTATCCATATTTCTTACTTTTTAACTTCTCTAAATGTTGTAGAAACTGCTACATATTAAATAAATAGTAAAATTTTGCAAATAAAAAAACTTTCCTACATTTCACTTATTTTCAACTACGAAAATTATGAAGCATCCAACTATTAAATAATTTCAAATGTAAGAAATATCAACTAAATGTTTTTAAACAGTTTTACTTTAATTTTCACTAATTTTATTTTCCTAACCAGAAAAAAATCCAGTTTTAAAATGTATTTCACAAGTTATTTTGAAATAAAAACATACTTGAAACTCAAAAATATTTTGCATCTAAGTTGATAAAGAATTGCAATTTTATGAGTATATGTTAAGTAAGTATTCGCCTACTCAACACTAAGGTCTAGGGCCAACTTGATATTCATTCATTCAATAAATACTAATGACCTATCTGTAAAACACTATACCAAAACCTGTGAGAGAAATAACAAGTCATTTAAAAAGGTCAAAACTACTGCATCACGTTACAAATCAAAGCTCCTTAAAAGAGTAACATACTTTTCTGTCTCAAATATAGTTACAAGTCCATAGAGATTTAAATTAAGTTGAACTGAAGTTTCTCTTTCTGAAGCCACTGGTTTCTGAATGGTATTGAAAAAACAAATTACTAATGCTTTAAACTGAAATTATATTCCTAGCATTACCTCCACTTCCCTGTCCAATTCAAATACTGCAAGGAAACCCATTCTGGTAAGAAAGAAGAAAGAGAGACAGAGAGAGGATAGAAGCTGGGAGGCAGGGTGGGAGATAAAGTAACAAAAAAAAATAGGTTTAATTGAAAAAATTTAAATGGTGACAAAAGAAAATGGGCAAAGGGAGAAATTTCTACAACACTAAGAGAACTGCTCTCTAGGGCAGGGACTGGCACACTTTTTCTGTAAAAGATCAGAGAGCAAATATTTGCAGTTTTTTTTTTTTTTTTTTTTTTTTTTTTTTTGAGACAGAGTTTCACGCTTGTTGCCCGGACTGGAGTGCAATGGCACGATCTTGGCTCGCTGCAACCTCCAGCTTCCAGGTTCAAGCGATTCTACCACCTCAGCCTCCCAAGTAGCTGGGATTATAGGCATACACCACCACATCCAGCTAATTTTTGTATTTTTAGTAAACATGGGGTTTCAAGATGTTGGCCAGGCTGGTCTTAAACCCCTGACTTCAGGTGATCCATCCTCCTCGGCCTCCCAAAGTGCTGGGATTACAGGCATGAGCCACTGCACCCGTCCTATATTTGCAGTTTTGAGGCCCATATGGTCTTTCACAACAGCTCAACTATGGAACTGTAGCTGAGAGCAGCCGTAGACAATAAGTAAATGAACAGGAGTGGCTGTGTTCCAAAAGAACTTTGTTTACAAAAACCAAGTGGCAAGTCAAATTTGGCCCAGGTTCATAGTTTGCTGACCCCTTGCTGTAGGGGAAAAAATTCAAAGGACTCAATACTGGCTACAGATAAATGTCTAATTAACTACTGTATAATCTGCATTTTAAAATAAAAGAAATACTCTTTAAAGTGTTTCCCAAATAAACATTTATGTAAGTTATAATGAGTTCCATTTTCTAGGCATAACTACCAAATCTGATATTAAACTCTAACTTCTTTCCTGACTAAAAGTAATTTTTGTGAACAAAAGGAGCTATTGGTTGGGCATTTATAAGGTTTGGAAAGAAGATATACAGTATGCTTTGAGTCATTTAGCATGAATTTATTAGCAGTAGTAGCCAAAGCACCAGGCAAAAGAGAAAAGACTAAAAGGAACTACAACCTGTTGGCTCCCCACAATAGGTCAATTTCAATTGTTTATTCAGGCCAGTAGTTGTGAGTGAAAGAGGCAATAAGTAATATAAGATTCTTATTTGTTCTCATTACCACCTTCTTCTAAGATTACAGATAGGCAACCGGGCGCAGTGGCTCATGCCTGTAATCCCAACACTTTGGGAGGCCTAGGTGGGTGGATCATCTGAGGTCAGGAGTATGAGACCAGCCTGGCCAACATGGTGAAACCCCGTCTCTACTAAAAACACAAAAAAATTAGCCAGGCATGGTGGCGGGTGCCTGTAATCCCAGCTACTTGGGAAGTTGAGGCAGGAGAATCGCTTGAACCCAGGAGGTGGAGGTTGCAGTGAGCTGAGATCATGCCACTGCACTCCAGCCTGAGCAACAAAAAGACTTCTGTCTCAAAACAAAACAAAACAAAAAACACAAAGATTACAGATAGGCTTTACCTTGTCTATAATGATGAATTAATTACTCATAAATTTACTGAATTTATTTTTAACATGCATAACTTCCTGATGAAATGCATTCCAAAACTTAATATTCTATTATATGACCCAGTGCTTTAGTATTTCGTTTTATTCTTCCTAAACTTGCCTCTCTAAGCTCCACAAAAAGCTATCTCATGTGGTTAATTTTTAAGCAAATGGAGTCTATATTCCTATTTTCCTTTTTTTTTTTTACTCTGATCTTATCGATGTGTTACTCAAGAAATCTTATTTCTGACTGGATTCAGACTTAGAAGTAGAAGCTCCCAGAGAGGAAAGTCTGAATTTCTTGGCAATTTGTTCCTGGCGCTTCTGTTTAGCCTCCTTCATTCTCTTGGCCGCAAGTTAAGCATATTCTGCAGCCTCTTCCTAATTTTTCTTAGTATGCTGCTTCTCAGGCAATATGCCACCATTTGTGCTGCAGGACATGTGGAGTAACAAGACGCTGAATCTTGGGTGCTTTGGTCCTAGGTTTCTTACCTTCTTTGTTTAAAGGCTTTCTTACAACATACTGGCAGACATCACCTTCTTTAGAGAGATTGAAAAGTTTGAGGATTCTGCTAGCTTTTTTGGGCCCCAGGCGACGAGGCACCGTAGTATCAGTCAACCCAGGAATATACTTCTCTCCTTTTTTAACAATAACCAAGTTAGAATGCTCCAATTGGCATCCACAATGCAACCACAAACTGATTTTCTCTTTCTTTCTCCAGTTCTTCTTGGTCTGTAACAGGAATGCCCCTTACTCATTAGCAGGTGGACACGGCCATGAATCAAGATACCCCGCTTCATGGGGAATCATTGTTTGTCGTTACCACCACTGATTAGGACCACATAACCCTTCCATTCTTCAACCAGAGCATCAGCAGCAACTTCTGTGGCCATATGCTTCTCATAAAAAGTGCCGTTCACATTTATTGTCCACTTCAATGAGTTTCTGGCAGCCAGTGGCTGGGAAGGAGATGAGCAGTTTCATCTTGAAGCAGGTGAATGCCTCCGAGGTGCCATGAAAAAGAGCTCATTATCCATTTTATTTAGTTATTCATTCACTCATTTTAAAAAAATCCCATCTCCATTGGTTATCTATTTTTTCGTATACCTTGACCATTATAATTGCCATTTGGGGAACTTTCTTGATCTCTGAAGTCATTGTGTAGCAGATACTACCAGCAACCCAACCATATTGCCACATCATTCACCATTCCCTACATAGCAATATCGGCTTACTATAAGTGTCTGTTACATGCTGCCTGAGCGCTTTCTCTGGCCAGTGAGTTTCAGAGAGTTAACAATTCCCATGATCAGCCCTGGACCAACAACAAAGGAGAGTTGATAAATAAATACTCCAACTTTCTTGTCCTCTATATAGGATAACTCTGAGGTCTTTCTACCCAGTCTCCCAGAAGAAGTCTCCACAAGATTAAGATGACTGTTTTCCCCAAAGATAGGATTACATATACTGTTCCCTTTTACCACTTTGTAAAAGAAGTGATGCAGTCATTGTTTTCTTTTTCTCTTAAGATCCAGCAACGTATTGGAGTGGTGACTTTAGGCACCATCTAAAATGACTCCCAGTGGTCTTACTTGTTAGAACTGATACCTGAGAACCCACCGTACTATATATACAATTTGTTTCTGCAGAAATGCATGACTTTGTACTTATTCAACACAGAAATAAATGTACCTGCTACTTCTGGGCAACAGAAATAGTATAAACCAAATTTAAATTTATCTTTATTCAAACAGAAAAATAAGGTATAGAAAAATAGGCCGAGCACGGTGGCTCACACCTGTAATCTCAGGACTTTGGGAGGCCGAGGTGGGCAGATCACGAGGTCATGAGATTGAGACCATCCTGGCCAACATGGTGAAACCCTGCCTCTATTAAAGTACAAAAAATTAGCCAAGCATGGTGGTGCACACCTGTAGTCCCAGCTACTTGGGAGGCAGGGGAATCACCTGAACCTAGGAGGCAGAGATTGCAGTGAGCCAAGATCGTGCCACTGCACTCCAGCCTGACAACAGCGTAAGACTCCGTCTCAAGAAAATAAATAAATAAATAAGGAAGAAAAAGAATCTTCCCATCAAAATCCTTTATTCTCCTTCCAAAGGTAGGAAATATAAGAGCCCTATGTACTATTTTAAGTATCACACTTTGAACATGGAGAAGCCCATAGAACTGAGCCAAAATAGTTACAACAGAGTTAGCACATGGATATATCAAACTCATGAAATCCTTCACTATAAACCTGACGTTGGGTCTGCATATACTTGCTTGAAAAACCACATCATCCTTCAGCCCAGGATAGAACCTTTGGAGATATTGTTAACCTTCCCCATTATCTTAACTCCCACTTCCAACTAGTCCCATCAATCCAACCTCTATAAAGTGTCTTATAGCCATCTCTTCTTCATTCCCATTAGTCCAATGCCAGTCTCTCTTTCCTATGACAAAAACTTCTAAGTTCCCTGTTTTATTTCACTTCTTTATTCTGGGAAATCTATCTGATAACCTAACACTCCCACATCCCATCTAAGATAGTTCAAACCTATGATAGGTCAAGTCCTGAACATCACATACAGTATTTATGTAAAACATACGAATGTTTACATTACTTAGACAACTCACCGTTGCCTAAACATTTCATGTATTGTTATCTCTGTTTGGAATGAAGACTAAAAGTAAAAACATTTGCCTAAAGATTAAACAAAATGTTTACCTGTCTGAAGCTATGTCACTGGCAATGTGATGCTTCACGCCTGACCCATTTTTAATAGAATCCTGTCTTGTGAGCCCATGAGATCGACTTTTCTCCACTGCAGGTACAGATAAGTCACCTGAGGGTCCTTGGAACTGGGTCTGCTCATGTAGTTTTGGTTTCTTCTCCTGAGGTGCCTCCTCATTTCTTAGCCCTCGAAGAACCTTTTGATCAGGTTGCTGTGGTGTATTAGTTCCACTATTATAAAACCACGCTCCTGATTTAGTGAGGATTTCTTGTTGTTTTCGGCACAAATTACATACCCACATAACCTGCACATGAAGACATAGGGGGAAAAAATTAGTGTTCCCAAAAGTTAAAAACAAAGAAAAAGAGACAAAAATTCAAGCAAACAAAAAATTATATGGTTATCCTTCTGAAGTTAAAACATAATCCCAATTAACTGCTACTGTAAATTAAATAATACATACTTTCTTTTAATTTTTTTGAATAATTCTAATGAAATAGATAACATTTATTGACCACAAAGATTGCAAACTAGAGTCCCAAATTGCTGATTGTTCATTTGTACTATTTAATTCGTTTTATTTAAATTAGAGGCATTGTGTAACACACAGAAAATAGATTTTGAAGCTAGACAGTTGGGTTTAAATACCAACTCCAAAATTAGAAACTTTGCAACTTTCAACAAGGAACTGAATCTTCGTATCTATAAAACTTAGTTTCCTTAATGATAAAATAGGGAAATAAAGATGATAATTTCCCTGTATTTTGAGGTTGAATATTAGAAATAATTTATTTAAAATATCTGCAATATTACTTATTATAAAGAAAACTAGCTGTTAATATTATGTTAACATTCTATCAGCAATTATATTATTCTTAAGGGGGCTTTTATTTTTTTCAAGTAGCACCTAATGGCTAAAATAAAGCTACAAGCTTTGTTGATCCTCTATTTAAAAAAACCTATTAATTGCTAATAATTTATAGTAATGCACTTGATGTTTTTACTGTGGCAAAAGACACAAAATAAAATTTGCCATTTTAACCATTTTTAATTGTACACACCTCAGTAGCAGTAAGTATATTCACATTGTGAAACAGATCTTCAAAACTTTTCTTGCAAAACTGAAACTCTACACCCCATTAAACAGCAACAGTCCTTTTCCTCTCCCAGCACAACTATTCTATACTCAATTTTTCAACAGATATATTTTTCAGATTCCAGAAATCTAAACATATTGTAATTAATATCTCTGTGGCCAGAAAACCCTTCACCATTTTCCGAAAAATCCTTTTCAATTAATCATTTAAAAAGTCATATTATCATAAAATAAGCATTCATAATTCAAGTGTATGAGTGCTAATGTTTTACGTCAAATACTTACTCTTACACAGCTCTCCAGGTTGCTAAACATTTTCTCACATGAAATAAATTACAACAGTATAGATAATCACAGTAAAAGGTTCAACATGGTATTTTCAACTGACACAAAAATGTTTCTGTAAAATACCACGTAGATTTTTTACCTTATTGTCCATTATTCCAGTTCATAGTTTGTGCAGATCTTATCACACAACATTGTACTTGCTCATTTTTATTCTTTTTTTCTTTCATTGAATTGTATATACATTTCTTTTCTCCCCAATTAAATTTGAAGCTTATTGAAGGCAGGAACTACATCTTCTACTAACGTAATAAAACCTTATAAATTATAGAATGGTAAGATATAATAAATGTTTGCTAAGTTTAAGTTTTTTAAAATTTTTCTGGGGGAAATATGGTAATAATATATTTGATATTATTAGGCCAAGATGTATGTTCATTAATTTCCTAAAGAATTAGTCATAAATAATATCAATATATGTACGTATTTTATTTTTATAAGTATTTTGATGTGAAAACACCATTATTTCACTGAAATTAAAAAGAATATGCCTCACAGTTCAAATTTCTTTTGCTATAATTGATTTGAATAGACATGAAATATATCTAACCCATCAACAGTCTCAAAATCAAATTTGAGTCAGCATCTCAGTCTTTTGATGCCATCTTGTGACAAATGCAAGTACTGCAGATCTCTTTTAAAAAGTCACGCTAAACAGATCCACAAAATAATGCAAAAATAAATGAAGTTTGAATTTCAACTTTTCTATTTTAAACAAGTTGTTATTTATGCTTCAGTGATAATCTATGCTAGATTATTATAAGATATAAATTTATCTGAATTAGGTCACACTCAGAGTACTGAAAAAGAGCATCCTTTCGTGTCTGGTAATCAACAAATGAAACAGAAATGAGAGCTTGTGAGACAGACAATTATCCAATCACTATCATCTGCAGAAACAGCATTTTGCTGCTTTGTAGCAGTTGAAAAATAAAATTTTTCACAAGGTAAGCAGGTTACTTAATGTATTTTAGAGCAGAGCTTCTCAAAGAACATCCCGGAGAGAACAGCATCAGTATCACCAGAAGTGCAAATTCCCAGGTCCCACCCCAGACTTACTGAATAGGAAACTCTGGGGCAGTTCCCAGTAATATTTTACCCCAAATCCTCCAGGTAATTCTGTTTGCTAACATTTGAGATCCACCAATCTATGGCAGAGATTCCTAGTTCAATATGTTAAATGGGTTACAAGTATGCTCCTCAGACTGGCTAAGACCAAAGGAGTTCATATTCAGCCTTGTCAGTTTACCTTAGTGTGGACTGCTGACTGTACAAATAGTATTGTTTCTGTGGAGCCCAAAATGAGAAAAAGAATTGGAAACACTATCAGCTTAATCTTCCTCATCTGCTAATATCCAGTGAATATTAATATAACACAGATGAGTATAAGGTATGAAGGATGTCTGATTCCTATTAAAGACTCTCCATGTGTTAATATCCTTCTCACATTCCCTGGGCTATGCACACTGCTTGCTCCTTTTCTGACTAGATCATTTGTTCCCTCCTAAATCACTAGCTCCTATATCCTTCCCTTCCTCCTTTCCTCCCTCCTTTATTCTATATTCCTCCCTCCCTTATCCTATATCCCTGCCTTCCTCCCTTCCTTCTCTCCTTCCTCCCTCCCTTCCTTTCTTCCTTCTTCTTCTTTTTTTTTCTTTCTTGAAACAGGGTCTTACTTTGTCACCCAGGCTGGAGTTCAATGGCACAGTCTCAGTTCACTATAGCCTCAACCTGCCAAGCTAAAATGATCCTCCTGCCTCAGTCCCTCAAGTAGCTGGGAGTACAGGTGTGGCCACCACGCCAGCTAACTTTTGTATTTTTTGTAGAGATGGGGTTTCACTATGTTGCCCAGGCTGGTCTTGAATGCCTGAGCTCAAGCAATCTGCCCGCTTCAGCCTTCCAAAGTGCTAGGATTATAGGTGTGAGCCATCACGCCTCCTAGTATTTTCTTATTCATGTATTGACACCTTGGTTACCTTTCTTTTCTTCTTCTACCATCTCCTCCTTCTCTTGGATTAATAGTTGATTAATTTTTTAAGCTCAGGAATTCCAAATCTACCCACATCAAGTACTGTCATGTGCTGCATAACAATAGTTCAGTCAACAAAAGACCACATATAGAAGGGTGGTTCCCTAATATTATAATACTGTATTTTTACCATGCCTTTTCTATATTTAAATATGTTCAGATACATAAACACTTTTCATTATGTTACTACTGCCTACAATATTCAATACAGTAACATGTTGTACAGGTTTGTAGCCTTGGAGCAACAGACAATATCATCTAGCCTAGGTGTGTAGAAGGCTAGACCATCTAGATTTAAGTACACTCCATGATGTTCGCGTGACAAAATTGCCTAATGATGCACTTCTTGGACTGTATCCCCATCATTACCAATATGATTGTAGTACAGAAAAACTGACACTTTCACTTGTAGCCGTTTACACAGATAGCAGCTTAGCTTATAAATTGGTGACAATATTGAACTACTTCTCGCAAACACCAATACCTCTCACAAATACATATATGCTGTAAAATGATTTTTCATTAATTGGCTATGAAATGATTAATGGCTATTAAAGATAAACTCTGCATCCATGGAACAAAATTTATAGAATTTGGCAATAAAGTCACAGGCCTTTTGCTAATAGAACACTTTAACCAATTACGTTAACCACATAAGGAATGCTGTCTAAAATATCTCAGAAATACACATGCGTATAAATCTCCCTGGTTAGAGACTATTAACCAATTCTCATAATTACCAAAAACATCTAGAACCTGAGAATACAAAACATGTAGGGTTCAAAATTATAGATTATTATTACCTTCAGTCGTAAATAAGCCAAAATTTAAAAAATAATATAGCAATATTAAGAGATGGAATAATGTCTAATGACCCAAATTTGTCACTTACTACCATGTGTTTTATTCCATAAACACCCTGAAAGGAAGGGAAAAACTAAGGAAAATACAAATATCTTTTTTAAACCACAAAAATAATAACCATAACAGCTGCAGTGAATAGTAAAAGAAAGCAAGAAAATCAAACTTACATTAGGTATATACAATAATTGAGAGCAATCTAAAGGTCTGCAAAATACTATGATTTTCTTCTAAACAGGGACAAAAAAATAGAGTAATTCAAAAAAGGGAGGGATTATAGGTTAAAGACTGATGCTAACGAGACCATAGGTCAAGATCCTATGATCCAGCTAACTGCACAGAAAAAGGAATTCACTAGACACTACCTCTAACCATTGCCAACCTGCTCCTAAGTGTGTGTATGCATTTGTCAGAGAGGAAATAAGGTAAAAGAGTATAAACTGATCCATTACATAAACAGAAAATTGTTGAAGATTCTGGCTAGCTATTCAACAACTTATTTCCTTTCCTCTTAGAAAACTACATTTTCCATGTTATCATGGGCAGCCATGACCATACAATTATATTCTAGCCAATGGATTATAAGTGGAATGGGTGTGCCACTTTCATAAACTTTTAAAAATTCTCATGTGCTATCTTCATGCTGTTCAGCCAAGACCTTGGAGATAAGGAAACCACAGGAAAAAAAGGTGCTGCCTGGGAACCTGAATAATCACTAGGAGGAGAGCACTCAGCTGATCAGCTCACCAGTGTGGACTTCACATAGGTGAAAACTAAACTTCTACTAAGTTGAGCTTTAAAGACTTTTTGAGTTTATCTTTTATAATTGATAGCATTACCTTGACTAATTCACAGTCTTTTTAAAGTACATGTTTATTCAATGTGTATTACTAGCACAATCTTGTATGTGAAGAACAATACATTACTAGGGCATGAATAGGAAAGAGCTTCAATGCTGTTCACCAACTCATGA